GTCAACTATGAAGCTCTTTGAAAAAATATCCATGTTCAATTTTCTCCTTAATGAGAAATTTACCACAATTTGTTTTGAGTTATACAGTGACATTCTATGTACCCCAAAAGGTATGATTTGTACTTTTTAGGTGTTCAGAGGATCAGATCTTGTTTTAGAACAACTCTGGTATTGCTTTGGAACTTTTCTTTGAAATGGAATTGGTTTTCAGGTTTATACATGTCTATATTTTTATGTTCCTTTTTACTCAGTAATGTGTTTCACATGCATGATTTCACTTGCTGATATCAGGGGGAGGTTATTTTTCTGGACTCAGGCGCTTGGGGCAGTTACGTGAATTTCCCATGATGCGGCAGTGCAGACTCTTCCTGGGCCTTTTATTCCTGTCCTTCTCTACCTTCTCTGAGTTTTCAGGTGTGTAATTTTAATTTGGTAAATATTTACCTTTTTAAATCTTGTCTTGAAAAATAATACATTTGTGAATCATGTAGAATATATTCTCAGCTTTAAAAAAAAGTATAAATGCCTTAAGTTTAGGTAAAGAATTGCCAGTAACATGAAGCAACTTTGCAAGGAGCTACCAGATAGCTTTTCCTTCCTATGATATCCCTTGTCTCTTCATGTAACATGTCAGATGGGTGACATTTTCTGTTGTGAGGAGCCCAAAAATGTTTACCTGAAAATCTCCTGTTGAAATTATTTATCTTTGGGTAATTTGGGTCCAAGCCCATGTGGGTCCTGATTTGTAGTCGAGGGAGAATAAATTTATTCAGTGTTATTTTGATTACTGTTTTTTGACTTAAAGATTAAAGGGAGTAGTAAAACCGGTAATTTCCTTACTGAAAGTTCTTTGCAAGTACTTGTATATTGGTTTCTTTAAGGTCTGGCATCTATGACTGTGACTGACTTCTTTTTGGAGTTATCTTACCACAGAATAATGATTTGTACATCATTCATCATGATCTGTTAGTGTGGAATTTTTGCAAAAGTGGATTGAAAACATTCTGGAATTCACCTGCAAATATATTTGAAATTTTTGGTCATTTGTTTCTGCAAAAATAGTGATTAAATATATTTAAAATGTTTAAAAAGCAAAAATAGCTGTAGTATTTTTTATTTTTCCTATAGTCTTAGCCTAACATGAAAAGGCAAAGGTAATGAATGGGCAATGCCAGCATGTTGGCGCCCCCTAGTGGGAAGCCTTAGATTGCCAGAGTCATCTGTAGGAAAAAAGCAAGGTAGAAAGACAAAAGTGAAAGGAGTAACTCAAAATGGAGAAAAAGAACAAAATTTGAGATTGAAAAGAATTGACTCATCTATTTTTCAAAAGTCAGGGCGGAGCTGTGAAAAGACAGCCATGAAAATCCAGTCGTTGTGTGCCAGCACTGAGCTAACCACTTGTGAGAGTTAATTGATAATGTATCGACTCAATGAAGTAGGTTCTATTATTTTCCCCAGGTCTATGATACTGAGATTTCACAGTTTAAGTAACTGGCCTGGAGCCAATTTGCCACTTCATAGTTTGCCACTTCTGGACTGGCTGACTCCAGAGTCTAAACTTTTAACTGTTTCACACTACTTCTATGTTCTTTATTAATAATAGTCATTGTAATCTTTGTAAACTAATAATACTTTCAACATGAATTTTTCTTTCATTGAATCTTTGGAAATAACTTCTTTATATAAAAAAGCACAAATAACTTCTTTATAGAAAAAAGCAAAATAGCTTCTTTATAGAAAAAAGTAAAATAACTTCATGTAAAAAATATACTTCTAATATTTTGAAGTATGTTTAATATTAGGTATCTCTACAACTACATAGAAAGGTTGAAAATTTTGACTTAAAAAAGCATTAATGGGTTAGATATGTTTTTAGTACTTTGAAAAAATTGCATTACTTAAAAGCGGATTTGATTCAAGATGCTCTAATTTCAGAGGTAAGATAAAAATATATTCACTGTGTATTGGAAAGTGTACAGTGATAATTTGTCTTTTTTAAGTAATGACCATGGATACATATCCTTCATTATAAAGTGGTCTCTAAGAAATAGGGACCAGGGACCAAACACTTTATTCTAAAATATGTATGCCTATGTTTTATGACTTTTTTGTTATGCAGCTATGGTTTAATGGTTAGAGAGAAGCTTCTAGAACATTTTTTGTATGCCAACATTTTTCACCATGACATTATGCAGGAATTTCCAGTTGACTCTCTGCTCTTCCTCAAACCCACACTGAAATCACAGAAATGGAAGCAATGCGTCCCTTCACTCTTACCTATTAAAATACTTGTTTCTGTCTTTACTTACACATTTCACAGTTGCCTGAACCCAAAACCACACAGGCTGAAAGTGAAATATAAAAAAGCTAGCTTGGAAAAACATTTGCTCTGTGGAGTAATTGTTACTAAATACTACTGGATCAACAAACTGGTAACTTTCAAATGGTTTTGAATGATATTTCTGCTAATGTAAAATTTGCGGTTTAGTTAATTTCAATAAATATAGTGGGTGCCCAGGAAAATATTATCTAGGAGAATTTTATTAACTAATGTAGCTCTGAATGATTCCAGTTCTTCTGGGTAACCTCTCTCCCAACAGTCTTTTATTCGATGTGTGCTCGTGATATATCAGTTTGGCCCAGAATTGCTTTTATAAATTAGTTTTACATTTTGTTTTTAATGTTATATAGTTTTATATATTTTTGGCTTGTTATTTATAAAACAAGTATTTAATAATTCTTGGTATAGGTAGACGTAGAAGATATGACATTTTTTCATGTCTATGAAGTTTATTTTAATGTTAACCAATTTTAGAAGAAAGACAATAGGAAGAAGAAACTTTTTATGTTTTTATAATCTGGAATCCCTCCCAAATACTCTCAATATCTGATATGTTGAAATAATATAAGATTTGCAGCTACATCCTAACACAGATCAAGCTCAGTCTTAGAATTACTCAGATAGAAGGGTGTCAAATTGGATCCAGGAAGTGAATGTGGGACTCTCAAGGGTTCCTGGGAAGTAGAAGCCAGGTTGCTGCTCAGGAATGCCTGGGTGTAACTCCATTTTTCCTGAGTGCATATGTTGCCTTGCTGACTCGGGGACTGGCTTTAGAAAACGGAATAGAGTCAGGATAGCTCTGTTTTCTCACTAACATCATAGATTATGAAGGGCATAGACACGTCAATAGTGATGAAACCCTAAATAATACGGGACTCTGTGCAGCAAACATGCCAGCTTTTCAGGCCTGACTGTATCATAAGCAATTGCATGACCCCATTAGGGATTCTTGGGGGCCAAGGGACACTGCATTGACACAGCTGTATCAGTTTTGGCAAAGAAAAGCGTGTGGACACTTGATAAGATTTTACAGGGAGATTTTATTTGCATCCAGAACTTGATCCAAACTGAGAGAGAGAGAGAGAGAGAGAGAGAGAGAGAGAGAGAGAGAGAGAGAGAGAGACAGTGAGTGAGTGTGTGTGTGTGTGTGTGTGTGTGTGTGTGTATTTGAGTGGGATTTGATTACAGGCGGTTTCATGCCAAATTCTGGTCTATTGAAAAGGGGCCTTCATTCTGAACAATACTGATCTTAATTGATTGCTCTAAGAAGTTTCTGCCTAAAAGGATACAGTTTGTATTATTCTGTCTTTAAATACTTAAAACTCAGTTTTCTTTTGCTCTATGTTTTAGAATGCTTATAGGGTGCCCTGTGTTCACGTTTTATAATGTTACTTTAAAATTTAATATTGTTTTGTATTATTATCTAGTTAGTGTATTTATAAAGGTTTTAAACTAGACTGCAAGCCCTGTGGACAGTCATTGCTTACATGCAACTTTTGTTCTCTGTAAAGGGTGTGGAGCCCTGGCAACTGAATTGAGCCAAAGGGAATAAAATTTAATTTCAACTTATGATTCAAGTGGATTTTAAAACTAGAACTATGCGCTCCTGTCTTGCTCTCTAATTATGGCTAACACATTGAGCAGTATTGTATTAATAAAGTCAAGATGTGAAAGTCAAAATAATGGCAAACTCTCCTTGTAATAGAAGATATCTGATTTCGTTGATAGCAACAGCTCTGTTTACTGACGAGAGCACGGCTACTCTTTGAAAGCCCTGACGGTGCAGAGGGCTTTCGAGGAAATACTGGCGGGGCACAATTTCCTTGTGTTTCAGATCCCTTTCCTGCCAGAGCGGGAACACACACACACAAATGTTAATTATTTCATCTGCAGTATCATCAAGAAAGGAGCTAATAAAAATAACAAATTAAAATTGATTAGCATAATTAGCACCATCACGTTTTGGGTGATAAATGATCATTTTGGTGAATGCATTGAAAGGATGACTAGAATTGCTCTCTCATTAACAAATGTATTATAAAGTTATTCTCAAATTTATAAAGTTAATAATAATTTCCTCTGAATCTTGCTAGAGAACGTGCATATTTGGTTCGAGCCAAGGGGAAAACCTCTCTGTTTTACTTTCTGTCTCCACACAAACTGTGGTCTGAATGTTCTTTATGATTTTACCAGCAAAGAATGATAGGAGGAAGATTACCATATTTTTACCCAAGAAGTTAGGTTCCTGGGTGTTTCAAGGCTCAGTTTGGAGGAAATTGTTTAGTTTCATCAGTTTTTAATTATAGTTGTGATACTGCCAGGGCCTTTGGAATTGTACTGAATCTGAGCTTTTGATTTCAGTTTTTATTTGCATTATTCTTGATAAGTAACATAGAAACCTGTTTAAATGAAATGTTCTTATTTGATCACTTATGTTGCTCTGAAAGAAGACCGAAGGTTAATATCTTGACTTCTTTAAAAGCCTTTATTTAAAACTTTAAATATCAGTATATGTTCATATAATATTAACTCTCATAAATTCCCTATTTTCCAAATTGGATTGTTCTAAGTGGCAGTGTTGCATGGTAAATGCATGCATTATTTACACATTAAAAATCAATTATGACCTGAACTAAAAATATACTTTATTCCTTTCTAGGGAATCCCAGGATTTCCTGGAAACCAAGGATTAATGGGACAAAAGGTGAATATTAATGAAAGTTGAAAGATTTGGGCCTGGATCCGCTTATTAAAAGGGCAAAGTGGTGATACGTCTTCACATAGGATACTTTTTTACTACATTCATGGGGACAGTTAATTGTTCAAACATGATGTAATTTCAGAAGTTACTATTTTGACTTTACAGATTAGTTTTTATTGTTTTACCCAAATAATATTAATTTGGATTTATATATATACTTCTGTTTTACTTGGTTAGTTTTCTATCTTGTGCTCTTAGGCCCTCACTTTGGAGTAATTTTACAACCTCCTGAACTATATATTTTGAAGTTCCTTTAGTTCAGATATCTTGGTAATAAACTTTTAGTTTTTATTTCATTACAGATATCTTTATTTTATTCTTGTTTTTGAGAGAGAATTTTATAGAGCATACAACTCAAGATTGGTGATTATTTTCTCTTAACACATTGAGGAATGCCTTGTGTCCTGGCTTCTGTTGTTAACTATGAGAAATCTGCTTTGATTCTAATTAGCATTCTTTTGTAAGTAGTCTGTTCCTTCCCTTGGGATTCTCTTAAGGTGTTCTATTTGTTTTTAGTGTTCTTGAAACTCACGGTGATGTTTCTCGATATATAGTCCTCTTTATTCACCCTGGTGGGAATTCACTTTGCTGCCTGGCTCTGTGGAATTATTTCTGTTAACTCCATATTATTCTATAGAAATCATCAAGCATTACCTCCTTATTATTACAGTTGCCTCCATATTATTACTATTTCATTCTCTGTGTTGTTTCTTTCTGGAGCTCTAGTTAGATATATTTTATTCCTTCTCATTTTGTCCCCTATATCTCTAAATATCTTTTTATTTTCATATTCTTTATTCTGTCTTACATTCTGGTTAAATTTTTTGGATATATTTTCCAGAGTACGTACTTTTCCTTTATTGTGTCTAGTTAGCTGATTAAAACTGTCAACTGATTTTTTAAAAAAGTTTGAACAATCATAGTTTTTATTTCTAGTTCTAATTCTTAATAACATCTTTTTATTCTTAACAGCATCTTATTCTGTTTTCAGTCCTAACAGTCTTTCTGGCTTTATTTTTTATTTTTTAAAGATTTCATATATAGATCTAAATTCTGTTTCTCACAATTCCAGTGTCTGTTGACTCTCTGTCAGTGGCTTCTGCCTCCTCTTTCTTTCTTGCTGATTGTGAGCTCATTGCTTCATCTCAGTTGATGGGAGTCCTTTACTCTAATGGGAGCATAGAGAGCTGCCTCCTGCTAGCAGCATGGGTACCACTGCTGCCCCTTGGAACATCCTGCCTCTTTCCACAGCTGGTCCTGCAGTCAGTTTCCCGAGCTGAGCTGAGCATCTCTCTCAGACAACCACAACCCTATGACTCCTACATCTTTACCTCTGGCAGGGTTTCTGCACAGTTCCAAATCCTCAGATTTATAGCTTCAGCCAGGGCATATTTTATTAAAATGAGGAATCTTTGAAGTCCTCTCCTATTTCTTGCAAAACCAGTGCTTTCTCAAAGAGGATGCTCTTTCTAGGATATTGTTCTGGATTCAGAGAACCGCTTGAAGCCTCTAGAGAGCCACAATCCCAGAAGTTGAAATTTAAATGCTGTTCTTTGGTTCCTTATTTTTCATTTGTTTTTCATATCATAGCTCTTAAACTCTGATAAATAAAATTTTCTGATTTTTCACCCTGTTGTCACACCTCACCAACTCTTTGTCTTCCTTTGAAAGAATGGCACGTGTCCCACTTGATTTCCTAATGAAAATATTTGACTTAATAATTCCACAGACCCCAGGCCCCTAAGTCTTCAAGGTGTTAGGTCCCTCGGTTTCTAGCCTTGCCTTGCTCCTTTCTTACAGTAGAGGAAGGAAAGGCCAAAAAAGCTGGGCTGATTGGGATTTAATTTTCATTCTATAGTGCTTTGGTAGGAAATTTCTGGAAATGAATTGATAATTTCCAATTTTATATTTGATCTGTATTTGATTTTTAGGGAGAAATTGGGCCTCCAGGACCAGTAGGAAAAAAAGGAGTTCCGGGGATACCTGTATGTAACTGTTATTATGATCAGGCGTTAGAAATATTGTTACTATGTACCAGGAGTTTTCTGGAGTCCACAAGTTCCACCCATTTCTATGAAAAAGATAATGTTTATGTCCATTTGTCTAGGAGAGTCTAGATTTCTTCAGGTTCTCAAAAATTGGACCACCCAAGTAAAGAGCAGAGACCTTACTATAGATAAACCAGAACATAAATTTTTAATGTCTCATATACTGTGCTATTACTAGTATATTTTACATTGTGTAGTTGCAATAACATCTTAAATTGATAGCAAAGCATAGTAGTGATGACATGGTATTTTTAATATGGCTACGTTGAGATGATCTTTTCTGATGATAATAATTGCATTTTTATTTTGCTCATCATATTTCCTTTGCCATGTTTAAGAGAAAGTAGGTGTTTTTGGTATATATGACGGTATTTAAAATAAAAGGAAAACTAGATCAGGTCCTTGTGCTACAGTAGTTATCATTGCCTTATTTTGAATGATATGACAAGTTTAAAATATGGCCATTTTGTAGCTTGAAGAGAGATTATTATATTAAAGGAATTTATTGGATTATTCAAGAAAATAGAAACTGTAAGTAATGTTGGTAAATGTAACATCTGTTAAGAAACCTAATTCTTAGCCCTCATGATAAAAGGAAGAAAGAGTGTAGGAAAAAACCCTAACTTTTCTTTACATTTGTCTTTTACTAGCCCTTCAGTAATTTGTGCTATTGTAAGTTCTTTGAGCAAAAAAATTGTAAGGGCTCTGTTAGCCTAATGCTATCTTGCATAGGTTGCTTATTTACTTTATTACCCTTACTTGGATGTGTGTGATGACAATTTCCAAATATTGTATTATATTTTAGAGGACCAATTGTTATGAGAATGAATGTGTAACTTGGAAATAAATTTAATATTTTAAAATGATTTTCTCTTAAATTCCCACTTAAAAATATAGGGTTTGATAGGAAGTGATGGCTCACCAGGTCAGCCTGGGACTCCAGGACCGAAAGTAAGTATAGGAAAATAAAGAAGATCGCGAACTTTGTGCAAAATAATCAACTATGTATTTCAGTAAAAGTTTTCACTACACCGATTTTATTTTGAATGTGATTTTTAATTCTGTGAACAATCACTTGTAAGAATAAAATCTGAGGCGTAAATTTTGCAAATAAAACAGACTAAAGTAAGTCAGGTCTGGTTCAAGCCGGACAGGTCTGGAATCCCTCACTACGCAGCTCGCTCCTTACTGGCATCTCAGAGGGCACTGAGGGATACATATGGTTCCATAAAGTTACATGCCAAACCCAATTATCTACACTAGAGCATAAATGGTCATGATCAAATACTATCACTTGTACCATTTTCCCAGCCCTCTTCTTGGTATTTTTACGTAGTGGAATATTTATTTGTGAAATGCCTTGTGGTGAGTTTTTTAGTCATTTCTTCCCTAGGGACTATGGGTAGGATTGCATATTATCTTTACTTTTAGAATTTAAAAAAGTAAGGCAAGCTTGACAAATATATTTAGGATGTCAGATCAGATGGTACAAGTGAAATTGTTTTAACACCACAGTATGACCATTTTCTAGGTGTATAAAATCCTGCGCTGACAGCTATTTTCTTTTTTTCTATTTTTTGGGGGGGTTTTTTTTTTTTTTTTTAGAGGATGAAACTATGTATGTTCTGGCTAGACTCAGGAAACTATTCTCAATCATTTAATGAATATTTTCTAGGACAAAGTTCCAAAAGGAAGTGATAGAATTTCAGTGTTGGAAGCATTCAACCTTTAATTAGATGTTGTACATATGTGGCATACTAAATGATTAGATGACCTGATGTGTTCTTAGTTTCTGAAGCATCAAAGAAGAGATTAGGGAAAAGTAGCTGCCCTTTCCCCATTGGAAGATTCTTGGATTATTCTTGTGGATTCTTGGATTATTTTGGAGCCAACCTGCAGGAGATATACAGAGCTGGTATAAAACCTTGGGGTGACTAGGCTTGCCAAGTAGAGGGTCTTCATAATTTTTCAAGATCAGTTTTTAAAAAAGATGTAGAGGAGTTCTATACTCCTTAAGTATTTGAGGTACAATGGACTTTCCCATTGTATTTTGGATGCTCTAAATTTTGAGAATACAGCCTAATATTGTATCAGCTTTTTAAAATTAGCCACTCCATATTGTTGGCTCACACTGAGCTTGAGGTCAATTAAATCTGCTGGATTTTCCAAAAAAAAAAAAAAAAAAAAAGAGAGAGAGAGAGAGAAAGAGAAAGATTTTAGAACCATGTGTTTGTGGCACTTGAAGATTCCGCTGATTTGGCTGGGGAACCAAGTGGCTATTTCCAGTGTCACGGTTTGTTATTTTTACATGAATTATAATGAAGTTTGGTTTCCCTCATCTTGTACTTGTGCAGTTATTTTGTTAAAAATAGATTAAGAATGTTAAAATTATACTTATCAACGTAACTTCTTCAGTGAAACATTTTAACTTCTTTTCATGTAGTGTGTTAACCAGCTCAAGTGTTGGAAACATTTTCTGCAAAGGGCCAGTCCGAGAGTGCCATATGGCCTCTGTGGCAACTACTCAGCTCTGCTATTTTAATATGAAGACAGCCATGGACAAATATAAACTGTGTGAAATGTACCTGTCTTCCCCTAAAACTTCTTTGACAAAAACATGTGTTGGGCTAGATTTAACCCACGGGCCTTCATTTACTGACCCCTGTATTAGCTTATCTCTGCCAGTTTTGTCAAGTGTATGTTTGTGCAACATGCCTTTAATATCATTGGTAGAAGTGCTGGGGAGACAAAAAGCTGTGTCCCAGGGTCAGGGGTGAGGCTGAAACTCTGTGGTAGATCTTCAGAACACTTCTAATGTATATTACAATGCTTCTTTTTAAAATAGCGGTTGGAAAAGTCCACTTTACCACACTCAATTCCAGTTGTTAAGAACATGACTTAATTGTATTAGGTTATATTAAGATAAACAAATCATGCAACTTTTTGCAAGTCTCCTCACCTCTGATTTTTTCAGAGGTGAAAAGCTTAATCACTTGTAAAATTAGAAATGTTAAGGAGCTAATGCTGTATGGTTCAACAGTGCTGTTAAGTGCTAAATGCTTTAATTAAATCTATATGTTAGGTTCACATGTTTGTCAACAGGAGCAGCCTAGAAAATTTTTTAAAAGCTGAAAATGAAGTTGGTTCTCTCATGTGTGAACTCAGCTTGGCTCAGGGTGATCACTGCCCTCCCCTTCCAGGTGTCACGTGCACCTGTTTCATTAGGGCTTTTGCCAGACATTGATTGCGTTGTGATTTCAGGTATCAACATATATTTGAAAATCAGAACTACCCTTGACAATCGCTCCTTATTAACCAGCAGGCATGTTCTCTCTTTTAAGTCCCGTCCTCTTTTCCTGTCTTACATTCTTTGCTGTCAACTCAGCCTTGCTTTCCAAGCCTATTAGAAAGGCTGTGCTGGAATCTTGAAAAAGAGCACAAATCAAACAGTTTCTGATTCATACTTATTCAAAGAAGCCACTGAACATTTAAAGCTAAGTTTCTTTCCTTCAGTTGCATTCTGAAGGTGAGCCATAGTGAGAAAGTAAAACAGGGCAAAGGTCTAGATTCTCAACCCAGAGGACGGCTTCAGTCAGTGCAGGTGGAGACCTAGCTAAGTGGCTCTCCACCCCGAAAGATCTGAATTGCTCCACTTATACTTAGACCTGCCAGTGTGAAAAGTCAGTAATAGCACTTCACATATGCTTTTAGAGAGCTTTATTAGTGTGGGAACTCCTTCCTTGCATAAAAGAGTTTTTCTTAATGGTTTTTAATGTGTAGAGTCTATGTTTCAAATAATTGGAAAGCTGAAAATATAAACATTATTTTTAATATATTTCTGTGTCTATATCAGATAAATTATGACTGAATTAAAAAAATCAAATGCTTTTGTTGCATTACAGGGAAATAAAGGTGAACCTGGACTTAAAGGGATTCCTGGGGCTCCTGGGCTCAAGGTAATTGTGATAGGATGCATTTAGAAATATTTTCAAAGAATCGTAAGTTTGATGAAATTAACATATTTTCAATTTGTTTAAAAAATATGTCAATTTGATAAGATTGACATATGTATGCCTTAAGAAAAGTTATATGAAATTAGGATTACATAAAAGGAAATGACCGATGTGGGCCAATTTCATTTCTATTTTTTGCATATTTTCTCATAATTTGGATAATAAAGACATGGAATATGCTTTGACTTGATTTTTCTAGAAATGGCAAAAGTTGTGTGCTAAAATGAGCAATCTCTCTGGTCTAGAGAATATCACTCCCTCCCATGGCTAGAAACAAGAGTGTGTGGCTCCCAGAAATGGTGCTGTTCCTTTGCTTATTTTCAGAGTGGGGACCCATGGCTGCCTTTACCAGTTTCCTTCAAACCAAATAGTTTATGTTTATTTCAATGAGACTTTCAGCTCTTAAAAATCTAGAGAATTATTGAGCAGCTCAGGAGTGGGCACAGTGAGCAAAGAGAACAAAACTTAGTTTCTACAAAAACAGTAGTCTTTACTTAACGTGATAGTTTAGGGCTGATGGTTAAACATAAAACAAAAAACAACCATGAACATTCAGGATTATGTCCTATCTCTTACATTTTTAACTCCAAGATTGTTGATACATCATCACTTAAATGCTTTCTGAGAACCTCTTTATTTAAGAGTTTTAAAAGAAAAAAAATACCCCCTATGTGATGATGGAGAGGAGACAATTTGAGTTAAGACAATTTATGGATATTCTTAGTACTGAAATAGCTCAAGAATTTACTTCTAAGAAAATAGTATTCCATATGTGTATAGAAAAAATATAAATGTGCACACAATTGAACTACAAAGATGTTCATCCCAATATTGTTTACAAAAATATAATTGTGGAAACCAGTTTAACACTATTGGAATTTTATTCAATGAAATATGTTAAATCAATACAGTTGAATATAATCCTGTGATTAAAAATCATGTTTTTAAAAAAATATAATGGCATGTAAAGAATTTCACAATAATAATATATGTTGAAATAAGAGATGGAAAAATTATGCATACATTGGCACATGTTAATAACTAAATTGTGTATGTGTGTTTGTGGTAGATAGAGAGAAAATATATAACAAAATAAAAATAGTGGGTAATGAGACTTTCAATAATTTTCATTTCTTCTATTTATCAGTTTTGTAACAATAAAATGTCTCTTAAAGTAGCAGTATGAGAAAAATCAGTTTCAAGGAAGAAAAAGTAGTTAGTAAATGAAAAAAGAAACCTGTGTTTATCATTTTCACTACTTTATTATTTACTTTATTGAAGTTATAAAATATAATGAAAGTACCAAATATAAAATTTTAAAATATAGAATGCTATCGTAACTTCTTAACTAGAGGAAAATATATCAGAAGCTTTACTGGGACTCCAGTAAACTTTTCATTCTTTATTATCCCTGTAGTAATAACTCTAAATGTCAACCACTTTTTTAACCACCAATTTAAAGTATGAGATGTATGTAGAAATAAAGATAGTGGTATTTTTTTTTATAAGCAGTAGGTGTGTGATCTTTATGTAATCTCTGCCTTACCTAGGGAGAACAAGGGGCAGTGGGTCCCCAGGGGGAGCCGGGCTACCTGGGTTTACCTGGAATTCAAGGAAAAAAGGTATGTGTTGTTTAGGAGCTATAATTCACTTATAATCAGCTTCTAATATGTAAGTTTCCCTTTGGTGTAAAGAGGATAGTAAGACTGATTATACTTTTAATGATAAACTGACCTGTATATTCAGTATACGGTGTATAATGTGTTTAACCTCACACTAATAGCTGTGGCATCTCTTATATCCCGATGTGGGTATTGCCTTCTAGATGAGGACCTTGGAAGAGGCATGCAGATAAGAAAATAAAAACATACAATTAAGTAATATTCTTTAACTTTACATTGTTTAGAAGTCAACCCTAGCAAGTCAAGAATTTTTTAGGAAAAGTATTCTACACCAGACATCCTTACCAGAATATGAATCACTCTCGCCAAAACTGGTGCAAAAGTCTGAAAGGATAAAAATTGCAACCAGAATGTTTGACTATGAAGTTCCTGTCTATGAAACAATAGTATTACAAAGAAATCATTTAAAATTAATTTAAGGAGTTTAAAATACAGGTCATGTGTGCTTATATAAAATTCTCTCTCTTACTCCCTTTCCTCCTCCTCCTCCTCCTTCCCCCTCCGCCTCCCCCGCTCCTCTCCCCTATCCCTACCCTTCTCCCTCTCCTCTTTCTTCTCTGTGTCCTTCTCTCTCTCTCTCTCTCTCTCTTTCTCTCTCTGTGTGTTTCTCTTTCTCCCTCTCTAAAGGAACCCTGAGCTATATCATTTGTTTGGAGGTTTAAAGCCAAAAGCAACTGCCCATTTGTAAAAACTTCCATGCCTCTATAAATATATATTTCAGATTAAAAGTAAATATACTGGCTTTTACTCTGGAAAAGGATACAAGCTTTTAGGCCATCACTTGATATCCCTTGCTGTTCTAGTTTTTCTGCAATTTTATTTTTCTCTCTCTCATGTATTATCTACTTGGCCCCTAAATGATTATGCCCAGTGTGATCCTTGACCTTGTCGTTCTGATAGCACATGCTGATGCAGGAATGATCTTCATAGCAGCAATTAAGTGTTAGACCCTTAGTGAAGATAAGAAAATCTACTGTGAATGTATATTCAGATTTAAGGATTTCCTCGTTCAGAAATTTGGCATATAAAAGAAAATCTGTATTTTGTTTGCTATAAACACAAAACTCTTTATGTTTAGATAACATGATGAGGTTAAAAAAAAATTGGAAACTGTCCAAGTTCAATTTTGGACAAGTGCTTACCTTTCCTAATCTGCAAATTCATTATATATACACAAACAAGGATATTGAATTAGTTGGTCTCTAATGTCTGTTCTAGCTGAGAAATTCTAGGAAACTTATTATCATAAAATATAATTTCCCCCCCTCAAACTTCACTTTCAAAACAAATGTTCTCTAAAATATCATTTCAACATTATGTTTTATTTCATTGTTTCCTATAAATATGTGGCTACTATGAGCTTAATGAAAGATTTTCAATTTGATTTCTTAAAACAACATTTGTCCAAGTAAGTTCTCTCTTACTTGTTTGTTTAACCTCAGATTATGATCAATATAGGAAAATTTTCTTCTTCCTGGTAAAATAAAAATAGTAGTAAATTTCCGTTTGAATGTGAAAGCACAAGAAAATGTTCATTTAGAACATCATTTTGACAGATGTTATTTTATTCTCTTCCCAAATATCGTGTTGGAATCAGTTTCTGTACATGAGGCATTTGTGGAATTTGCATGAGATCATATAATTTTCTTTGCTGAAGAAAGACATGTTTATTTGAAAGAATACAGAATATACTAGATTATTATAATCCATATATATATATATATGTTTTTGCAGGGGGACAAAGGAAATCAAGGTGAAAAAGGCATTCAGGTATATTGATTGATTGAGTGTGTGTGTGTGTGTTTTCCTTGCTTGGCAGTAAAATCTGGGCTTTATTCTTTTTAACTTTTTATATTGCTTTTCCAATTCCTTCACCTTTAACCATCAATATCTAATTGTTAAATCCTAGCTTTTTTCTTTTGCTACTTTTCAGACCATATCAAGTCTAATGTTAAGATTCTTCATGTGCCCCAGCTGGTGTTGACTCAATTTGTTGGGTATGTCCTGAAAACTGAAAGGTCGTCCGTTCAATTCCCAGGCAAGGCATGTGCCTGGGTTGTGGGTTCAGTCCCTGGTCAGGGAGAATACAGAAGGCAACCACTCGAGGTTTTTATCTCACACTGCTGTTTCTCACCCTCTCTTTCTCCCTCCCTACCCCTTCCTCTAAAAAAATAAATAAAGTCTTTTTACAAAAAGATTCTTCATCACATCACTGTTGTAGAGACCTTGAAAACAAAGTGATTCAACAAAGTAAAGATACAGATTTTATTACATAATTTTGATATATATTTATTTATTTTCTATAGTGTATGTGTTTCAAAATAGTTTGAAATGGCTTACAGCACAAATAATTTGATAAGCAGTCATTAACATCAAATTTAATATGTACTTAAACTAATAAAAGGAGAATTAAACAGAAAATTCTATCAAGCTGAGGAAATCTAGGGTGGTTTAGAAGGACCTCTTTTGGGTGTCTTAGCAACAAAGGCAAGGGGAAGAACCATACTACCACTATGGAAGACAGGGACACTTTCACCTCAATTTAAGTGGCTGTCGAATGGGTTGTTTCTGTTTTTTGTTTTTTTGTTTTTTTCACTAAGTGAACAACTGACCCATGCATAGGATGCCACTAGTAGAGTCAATGATACACTTACCAGGAATAAGTTACATCTGTTGGTCTTTCAGTCTGTTAAGTTTTAGAAATGGAAGACATTTCCAACCATGAATTACAAATCCAATGTGCAGACAGTACTTTTACAGTGTTTTTAAGATAATAAAACTTAGTTATTGTGACTGAATTTTATGTAGAATAAGCTTAATGTAAAAAGAAAAATACTTTGTAAAACTTCACAGATAGAATTTTGAGAACTCTAGAATTTTTGGAGGCAAAAAAAGGAAATTTTAAATTGATATTATTGATAGAGTCAAAATCTGCCAAGGTAATAGTCTAATAGTTGTTTTTCAGAAAAAGTCATTTTTTACCAAAGATATTCAAGTATTATCATGCTTCCTCTAAGTGAATTTTGAAATTAAGAGTGAGGTAAATTTTAAGTAAATGTCTGTGAGCTCTAGACCAATAATATTCCAATTTCCTTCCTGGTGTTGCTTTTTGGACATATCATGTGCATCTCAACATGTTCATATCGGAACTTGTCATCTTTTCCCATAAATCATCTTTTAAACATGGATTCTTTTTCATAGTAATTTGTATCATGACACAGTCACCGAAGGAAAAAAATGTTTTAGAAATCTTCTTAAAACTCAATCTCTTCCAATTTTTTCACAGCCAGTTTTACATTTAAATGTCTCTTGCACTTGGCTGTTCTCTTTTCCCTGCCCCCACTATATTCATGATTTATCAATGGTCCTGAGTTACTGTATTATTTTCCTAACTTATCTATTTGACTCCAGTCTACCACTTTTCCCCTACCCCACACACTTTTGCCAGCATACAATAACTAAATTACCTATCTGCCTAAAAATCCCACAAAGTGTGCCCCACACAATTCAAGATAAAGTCTGATCCATAAAGTTCCTTCCGGCTGACTGAATCTTCTTCAGCCTTATGTCTTGCCGCTCTGCCCACTACTATCCCCTCTTGCCTGCTGCTTTAGGTCAAAGGAATTACTTCCCTTTGTCCTGTATGTGTCCCTGGTCCACATGCCTATCTTTTCTCCTGTTGACTACCTCTTACTTGTCTTGAAAGGCTGCACTCGAGGTTGAGTCATTTTCCCTGCTCTCTATGTCAGATGTTCCTTCCTGTGTTTCAGGTGTTTAATTATACATTGTGCATTTATCAGACAGCATTTTCATTATTCCATTTTTAAAAATGTCCATCCTTGATTTACTTGCTTATCTTTCTCACCACTCAGTAAACAGTTTGAAGGCAACAATGATATTGGGCTGGCCAAAAAGTCTGTGTGGTTGTTTTCCATAAAATGAAAGACACATTTTTCATTTTCACCAATAACTTTATTGATTTGGATATTTTGAGTATATTGGCTATCTCCCACATGTATAATGTTGATTGTTCTCAATTAATGTCTTGACTGGATTGCTGTCAACTTCAACTTGTCTACCTGACCGTGGAGCATCATCCTGAGAAATCTCCAGCACAAAACTTCAAAAACCACTTTTGACACATTTGGTCTGCCACAGCACCTTCTCCATATGCTGCACAAATTTTTTTTTGTGTTTCAGTTGCATTTTTACCTTTCTTGAAATAATAAAGTGTAATATGCCAAAAATGTTGGGCATTTTCTTCCATTTTCAATATTAAAATGGCTACACAAAAATTCACAATTTGATATGTTCTTAAAAAATGTATGCTGACGTGACAGCTATCACAATACAATCTAACAAAATTATTTTGAATGCAGTTAAAGACAACTGAGCACTGCTAGGGCCACTGTATGGGGAAAAAATGAACTTTTTGGCCAACTCAATGTCTCAGTCTTAGTGTCCTTACGGTCCAGCAAATAGGTGCTTCTCAATAAATACTAGGAATTCACTTATGTAACAAAATGAACAAATCACTATGCAAAAGTGATTTAAATTTTTAGTCACTGATCTTTGATTATATTATCAAGGCATATGTTTTCCTAGAAACTGCTAATTATCTTGTTCAACATATGAATGAAATATTGCCTCAGGGTCTACATATGGTAGCTATCCAAAAGTATTTATTGAGTGGACAAATGTGTTTATATATTTATTAATTTTTCTCTCTTCTTATTTAAATATCTTCATTCAAAATATTTTTGCAGTATATTTGTAATTTTTAAAAATTCCTTTAAAGAGGTTTTATTGTTCTCAAATATTTATAGTCAACACTGAACATGATTATTTCATTTAAATTAATATAATTGCCACAGCCACTTGATTTTTAAATTACTTTTATGCTGTTAATGTGAACTCAGCAGAACATTCTGAAGTATCTATAATTATTTACATATTCTCCCAAAGTTTATTCCTGGTCTCTATTTTAACTATAAAATTAGGTTCATTTTCCTCCTTTTTTTTCTTTGAGAGACTAACTATCCCATATCTAACATCATTTTACATATTTGCAGTACTGCTTTTATGACATTTCTTCTAGACTATAGGACAATACATGGCTTGTGTTGTATATGTGATTGCATCATATGTGTACAAACTAATTAATAATATTTGTTAAATTTTAAAGGGTCAAAGGGGAGAAAATGGAATACCAGGAATTCCAGGGCAACAGGTATCTTTTTTTCTTTGATGGAAAATGTAGTAAGGAATAATATAACTGGACAATGCCGAGGGAGAGTTACTTGCAAATAAAAATAGAAGGGGAGAAGGGTCAATGTACTGTGCATTCTAATCATACAAGGACAAAAACGTTGGTGATGGTGGTATAATGTTTTGCTTTGTCTTTTGTTTATTTTCTAATCCCATTTCTACTGCTTTTCAATGCTTTTTTGTGGCCATGTAAATGACATGGACACGGACAGTGTGACCGATTTTCGTAGAGCTTATTGGCCAAAGGCAGCCATACAATGACAGCACCTCCATACCTACTGTGTAATCTTGATTTTCTTCTTGCAATATGAACAGTGGCCTTACAGAGGCCGTATGCAGTGGAGGAATGTACTTGTTTTCCTCTAGTTTGTTCAGAGTTATAAATTACTATGCCAGAGGCTTACTAAAATCCTATCTTGAGGGACTGTGCTATGAAACAGATACATAATAACGTTGTTTTTCTTCCTCCCAGACTACAATCTCCTCATTAAGTAGTGTTTCAGTGAAATAACCGTCGGGCACATAAGTTTAGTCAGAGACAAACTGGACCAAAGAGATAGAGTACGTTTCCTGCTGTACTGCTTGTAGTTAAGCTCAGTTCCAACTTGGTTTGCATTGAAAGGGCAAGCTGTACCTGTGAGTCCTCCCCCAAGGTGGGCCTCTTTTGCATGTGGGCATAGGAGAAAAATTCAGTAGCTACACCAGTTCTGGAGACACGTAGATAAAACTATAGTGATGTCTCCAAGGACAAGGGTCTCTGCATCTCTTACTTGGAGAAATCTGAAAGTCCGTGGGGAGAGTGTTTAAAAGCATATGGCTGCGAGGTTGTCTTGAATATGGGATGCAAGGTGAGTGCAAGATATTAAGAAGCATTGAGAATTTAGGAGCTAACAATAAGCACCGAGGTATGTAAGAGGAGTAATTGATTTGAGTTTCCCTGTGTACCATTATGTTCAATGAAAAATGTCTCTTAATTAGTGTTCTTTCACTTGACTCAAATCCACTTGATGGCATTACCAACTCTCCCTGTTTCCCTGGTAACTGACCCCTCAGTTTCCTCAAGTTAATCACACAATAACTGCACACAGTTCTTCCAGAGGAGGACCTTCTCCTTCATTCATTCAACCTCCCTAATCCAAGTCTTTCACCAGAAATTGTTACTCACTAAATTTTTAATTCTTTAAAAATTTTAGAAGGTCATTTCTTTTGGAATTTGAGCTCATCTCACTGGCTTGCAGATGACACTCTCTCCAAGGTTCCCTTACCTTGTTTTGTTGTCACTTCTTAAGGAAAACAGCAAGTGTACTACCTAATGTAGGGTTTGGATTCCCTAGAAAGCTTCTGCCCCAGATTTGCTGAAAGCTGCATTTCCCACCCCCAGGGATGGAGCCGATGCAGAGGGGCCCTGGGGCCAGGGCACTTGTTGCTTTTCAGCAGCTGGATGGTCTACCCAGACTCTTTCAGTAAACACAGCCTTAGTTACCTGTCATCCTACTAAGTGCTACACGATGTGTAATTTTTTGGCCTTCTTGTTGTGAATGGAGTTCAAGTGAATGCTTCTCTCATGAAATCATCTTAAAGGATTCTCAGGTTCTTGGATACAGTACCACCTGTAAGCCAGTGAGATGAGCTCCAATTCTGAAGGAAATGCCCTATCCTTTTTTGGGGGGGGGATTTAGTGTATTCTTAGTGGATTCTCGGATGACTCTTTTCAGTTTCAGCTCTAATTCAGTTCTAGTCCTGAGAACTTAACTATTTTATCTTTCCTCTTACACTGGAACCAGTTGTATGATTATATTTGATAGGGAAGGCTGCTGCATTTTTCCAGAATCCCCAATATTTACAGAGGCAGTTTTACTAAGACTTTTATATGAAGACTAATTTAGTGTTTTTATGCTCACATTTTAATTTGAGAACCTACATTTCTCTGTGCTATATACTGATTTTACCAATTTTTTCCTTTTGTCTAATTTGAATATCCATATTTAAGAAACCAAGAAATAAATCAAAATAAATTCTCAAGTTCAAAATTAATTGTGTGGAATGTTATATACTATATTGTATACTGAATTGGAGAACACCATTTTTTTTTAATTTTAAAGTTGAATAATGAAATCCTACCTATGTCTGTGAAAACCATATTTTTTTTATTTTGAACTGATATTGGGTGATTTTAGAGCCTAAGCGTGTGATGAATTTAAAAACTGGAAAATTTGAATGCCTTTCCTGAAAGTTCTTTATATCTACGTTACATCATTGAAATAAATATGTGAAAAAGATAAGTAGAAAATAATTAAATACAGCCATCACATGTGTCCATAGCAAGTTATCGTAATGAATGAGTTTCATGCATGCCCCCCCCCGTTTGTATCCCCATTGTCAATCACTTTTAGTAGTGTCTTTGCTTTAACTCCTCTTTTTATCAGTGACATTCAATCAAATTTAACTTTAACCCCATGAATGGGAAAATACAGTGCTCCCTTTAATCACAAATATATCTTATCTGAATTTTAATTTTCATTAAAATAGTAATATAAGTTCACCATAAAATTTATTACTATTCTTATTTTTAAATCTAAAAAGAATTCAGATAAAATACCATCTAATCTACATATTTGGCTTGCAGCATATGAAATATTTTTCTCTAAGAATGACACAGTTAATGTAAATTAACATTGTTTATATATCTAGTTAGCATATTGCCTAGTCATTAGTCTCCTTTCAAAAGGCAAAAAAAGACCTCTTATATGTATAATTCTGCCACTAATTATATAAATACTTTACAAACTAAAAATTAAATTGATAAACTGTGTGGTAAAGGTGCATGCCACATTACTAGTACTGTTGCTTGCACATTTATTATAGCATTTTTTCTGTTAATTTTCAAAGGGAATTCAAGGTCCTCATGGTGCAAAAGGAGAGGTATGTTTCTTTATGTATTATGCCCCCTCTGTTCACTTCTTATTGCTTGGATTTTCCCACTATATAAATTTAGCAATTGATATTGCAAGCAGCAAATGTCTTTTATAGTCTTCAGTAACAGTGACTTTCCTAAACAGTGACTTTCAGGACATGTATATTCATTCGGTTACATGTGAAATGTTACGCATTTGTCAATATTATTGTTTCTTTTAGATTGAGAGCTAATTTTTTTTCTGCATACTTTTCAACGAACAGTGTCATGTGTTTTTGTATATACCTGTCTCACAAGAATTTAAACTCCTTGGGAACAGGACCGTGTCACATTTATTGTTGTATCTCTGACACTATACATATTGCCTACATCATATACTGAAGAAAGTGGATATTTGTAGGGTTGGATGGATGGTTAAATGACAGTTTAATATGATATAAAATTTCCCTCCTGATTAATACCAGTGTTTCCCAGCTGTTTTCTATATAAAATATATGTTTTATATTTATAGCCATATCCTTGAGGATTTTTAAGATGCAGTTATACCTCCCAAAATATTTAAATAGAATTCTTGAGGATTTCTTTTGCTTTTAGAAAGGTGAAAAGGGAGAACCTGGCGTCAGAGGTGCCATTGGACTAAAGGGAGAACCTGGGATGGACGGCTTGATGGGGCCTGTGGGTCCCCAGGGGCGACCTGGGGAAACAGGTCCTCAGGGACCGCCAGGATTGGATGGGAAGCCTGTATGTATTCTACTTTCTTTCATAGTTTACATTGCTTTATACTTGGTATATACATGTTATAACCCCTAATAATTTGATGCAGGGAAGAGAATTTTCTGAACAGTTTATTCGACAAGTTTGCACTGATGTATTAAGAGGTAAGTCTCAAAGAGAGTTTTTCAAATTACAAAACTAAAACAAATTTTTGGGTAGAAATTATAAAAGATGTAAGTAAGATAAAGAAGAAAATAAGGAACATTTTTAAACCCTTGTCTGTTGTTTCTAGATTAGTATATTTATAATTAACATGAAATATTTTATGTACTCTTTTATAATATTTTAATAAAGCAATTTATCATTTCATCATTAATAAATTTTATGACATAATTATGATAATTTAATTCATAAATATGAATGCTTATAATTTACCAAAATTTTATTCAGGCACTTTCTGCTTTCCTACCCCAGTTTAAGTAAATGATACAATGAAATTGCACAGAGCAATGACTATAATTTAAATTCCCAGAAGTGAAATTATTGGCCAAGATATATATAGATACACACACACACACACATATATACACACAAATTTTTTAAAAAATTATTAGAGATATTGTTAATTTTCACTCACATATAAATTTAAGGAGGGGGGATCCTTTGTTTTTAGCCCAGCTACCAGTCTTACTTCAGAGTGGAAGAATTCAAAATTGTGATCGTTGCCACTCCCAACATGGTTCCCGTGGAATTCCTGGGCCACCTGGTCCTATGGGCCCAGAAGGCCCCCAAGGGGTTCCTGGTTTGCCAGGAAGAGATGGTGCTCCTGGACTAATGGGTGCTCCTGGACGTCCAGGTGCCAGAGGATCGAAAGGTACTTGATTTGCGCGTGTAAGCAAATGAACAAGAAAGGTATTCTTTTTTGTATCCATACTCTAAATTTATTTAATAGAAGAGATTTTATCTGTGTTTTCATGGTGACAAAATTTTTTGTAAATTCCTTACTCTTTAAATAATTTGTTCACTGAGTTAGAAAACACTCTGTTTTCTTGAAGCAACATTTTCAAGTAGAAAAAGATAGGTCAAAGTTATGAAGCATGTGAAGTTTCAAATCAGAAAATGTTGAAAAGGGAATTAGAAATTTTACTTGATTTTAGTGCCATTTCTTGTATTTTGACTTCAGTAATTTTTTATAAAAAAGTATTCAATTTATTTTTCTATTATAGGAAAAATTATGTTTTGCAACCAAACTCCCCAATAACCTACAAACTTACTTCTCTTTGCCTTTGAATGTTTATGTGAAATGTTGGTTGATAACTCTCCTCTTTTAATTTTACATGAATAGTGTGTATGTTTCATTAAAGTAATAAAAGAACATGTATGAGTAACAGAAAGGACAAATAATCCTCAAACCTTTTTTCTTTCTTAACACTTAATCCCTAGTAAATATTTCTGGGGCACTGATAATTTTAGAAAGGTTTGCTTCAAAAATTGTGTTTCCCATTATTAATAATAGGTGGCAAGCTATTTTAAAAAGATGTATTTTTTTCCTTTTGATGTGTGTGTATTAACAGCTTTGAAATAAACACTCTAGAAGGCAGTGATTTTATAGGAGAAATTAGCTCACTCTCGTCTTTGACACTGCAGGCCTGCCAGGAATAAACGGGGCGAAGGGGAGCCAAGGGTTTGGGTACCCTGGAGAACAAGGTCCTCCTGGTCCCCCAGGTAAGGCTTGGTGTCTGCTCCTAAGCATGCTGCCTATTTTGCTTTAAGAAAATCATCATAAGTCTGTGTCAAATAATTTGACACCAAGACTCTTAAGTCATCCTCTGCTTGCTGTTATTTAACTTTGCCATGCCTCAGTTTCCTCATTTGTAAAATGGTGATGACATGTCAGTCACCTGCATCATAATATTATTGGATGATAGAATAAGCTGATTCATGTAGTGCTTGCAGAAAAGTACATGGCAATCATACTTATGTTTTTAACAAATGTGTGCTATTATTATTTTAGATAATGCTATTACCTCATGCGACTTTGGGTTGATCAAATAATTTGATACTGTTTATATGAAACACTTAGAACAATATCTAAAATTGTACTTCAGTGTTAAATCAATGTTTGTTAGTAATACTAGTAGCAGGAAGAAGTAGTGGTAGAAAGTACCCCGAAACTATTCTGCTCCATCCCCAAATTTCAATATTTTGCTTTTGTTATTTTGAGGCATTAACTTTAAAAGGCCAGTATCCTAAATTAACTCTCTTTTCTTTGAGTATACTAATTGAGCTAATTAGGCTATGGTTCACAGATTAGTACTATAACACTTATGGGTATTGATCATTATTATGCTATATATGATAATGACAACATATAGTCCTTTTTATTGCAAATATGGCACAAAGTGACTTCATTGGAGTTCTGGCACGTGTTCATGTGCACACACATACACATATATAGGGTCCAGAAGAGGTAGCGCCTGCTTGAGTGTGATTGGTAGGGTACAAGAATGTCTTGCATGAGATAGCCAGCAAGTTGAACATTTCACCTAAAATGTTATATGTTGTGCTTAAGTGTGATATTGTCATGTTCCAGAATTACATGCTTATGATTTTGTAATAAAAGATTTTGTAGTAATAAAGAGGCATTATTTGTGCCAGACTGTGTGTGTGTGTGTGTGTAATTCTAATTTCTAATAATATTGGCAGAAAATATGCTGAAAGGAATAAGTAAGTTTGGAAAACCCACAAATTGGAATATTAGAACGTTACCTCAATGTCTTAATTAGTAACGCAATTGCTATATTAATATAGCTTAGTTTAGTTTTACAAAAATTACTGATTGCTTTTGTATGGTCCTTTTCAAAGTGGAAGGTATATAGAATTAGCAAAAGAATACTTCCTCTTTTCACATTAGTGCAAATATGTACAATTTTCAAGACATTTTTTTCAGTTTAAATATCTTATGGAATCAGCTGTATCACCATCAAACACCAAACTCCTCCGTTCATATGCTACTAATGTCCCATCTTAGGTCCAGAGGGTCCTCCTGGAATAAGCAAAGAAGGTCCTCCCGGAGACCCAGGTCTCCCTGGCAAAGATGGAGATCACGGAACCCCTGGCGTCCAAGGGCAACCAGGTCCCCCTGGCATCTGCGACCCATCGCTTTGTTTTAGTGTAATTGTTGGAAGGGATCCATTTAGAAAAGGACCAAACTATTAGTGTCTATTGCCTCATTCAGCAACCTAGGCATGGTGCTTTTCTTTTGTGGTCTTTTGCATCTCAGGAAGATAACAAACAGTAATCCCTTGAAAAGAAGCTGAAGTACCTCGGTGTTTTTATTATTATTTTTTCCTTAGGGAAAAATGTATAAAAGGTCACATATACTGATTTTAAAGGATCCTCAGTAATTTGGAGCCTTTAGATTAGTAGCATTAACTAAATCTCAAGGGTATCTTTTAAGTCCATTTGTTTTCATCAAAGTTGAATATAAAAAAAACACCATTGCCTGTTAGCTGGTCCATTTCAGTCACTGTGAAATAGTTCACGTGCAACCTCCGTGCAGCAGAGTATTCAAGTTCATGTCTGTGTGAATTTCATGTTTCATGTCTCATAACTATACTTCTTCATTAGATAAAACATGTTTCTGGTAATTGGAAATGAGATCAAGGCTGATGTTGAGCTGCGAGAGACCTAATTGCCATTCCAGTCATTTATTCCAGTGTCTGCGCTCATTGGATGGGGTGATGGACTACTGCTTGTTCAATGTATTTACTATTACATGTGAATAAGATTAATGTATCTCTGATTCCATTTGCAAATTATCAAATTTGATTAATGACTAAGCAAAGAAAGTACTAGTTATATAGTGAATGTTCAAAATTATGTAACATTAAAAACATTTTTTTAAAAAGTGCCATTGTACCTGGTCAGTATATTCAAAGCAAACGGAAGTTCAGAAATACTAAAAAGACTTTCTTCCTCGTACTTGCTGGGTAATTGGAATGTTTGTTGTATGCCTTCATTTTCCATTTCACTTATTATATGTGTATGTTCATATATGTTAACTTCCATTGTAGCACAGCTAATGGGAAGAAATGCTGTGGTTGAAAGGAAACGCCACAGTTTCTAGTATGTCTTGATGTCTGTAGTAGACTTTAAAATATTATGAATAGTCTTTCAGTACTGTACTTAATGCTTTTGTAAGAACATAATTTGAAATATTTAATCTTTATTATGCTCTAAATTTTGTTACATGCTTGTTATTCAAAGTACAATAAAGTTTTTACAGGCCTGATTTTAGTGTCTTTTTTATACATAATTTTAACTGATTGTTGAGTATATTATTCATATCACATGGTTATTTATTCAGTGGGTAAAAATTTGTTAAATTATATACCCTATTAAATAATGGGTTCATTTGAAATAAGAACTTACATATTCACTTGGTGTGCTGCTTACCTCAACAGGCCCTGACCAGTGTGGATCAATTGGTTGAGCATTGTCTTGCAAAGCAAAGCATCATTGGCTCGATTCCAGTCAGGGTGCATGCAAGGGTTGTGGGTTCGGTCCTCTGTTGGGGTGTGTAGGAGAGGCAACTGATTGATGTTTCTCAGGTTGATGTTTTTCTCCCTTTCTCCCTTCCTTCCCCTCTCTGTAAAAATAAATAAAATCTTCAAAAAATAATAAGAAAGGCAGTACTGTCTTCCTGGCCCAGAAGATGACCATTGATCAGTGTTTACCTTTATTGATGTGCCATTCTATCACTTTGATGAGGACCTTGGAGGAAAGTGAAGTCCATGACATTTGGTAGCTGAATTAGCATAAGGCACACTTCAGTGTTCTATCCCCAACAAAGTCTCAGGAATCTGCTTAGGCCTAGCAATCCTACCACCCCTGCTCATTATGGCATTTGATGTTAAGACCTGGTAAAACAGCAGAATAGGTGGTTGCTATCATTTATTAATCCATTCAACCAGCATTGACCCAAGGACCATTAAATGCCAGTTACTGTCATAGGGATACAATAGCAATATTGTACAGTCTGGCCTGAAGGAACTCATGTCTAATGAGTCACAGGTAGGTAAACAGGTGAGTCCTATACATTCATTCTAAAAAAATGAGAAAGTACTATAGAAATGCATAGGATAATGCTATGGACTGAGTTGTGCCCCTTGCAAATTTGTATGTCGAACCCATAACCTTCATGAGACCATATTTGGCAATAGGGCTTTTAGGAAGTATTAAGAGTAGGGTTCTAATCTGATAGGATTGGTGACCTTATTAGAGGAAGAGATTCTCCCTTTTTATACATGTTGCACATATCACACATATACCAGAAACATGCCTGCACACATGATAGGCCATGTGAGCACATAAGGCAGAGCTTGAGATGGAGCTGGATATCATTCTTTGATTCCCCAGTAGAGGGCAGCAAAAATATATTTAATATTTTTTATTTTATTTATTATATATCTTATTATTAATATCTATCATATCCAGGAGTGTCCAACCTGTGGCTGTGGGCTGCATGCAGCCCAGGATGGTTCTGAGTGCAGCCCAACACAGAATCATAAACTTACTTAAAACATGAGATTTTTTTGTGATTATGTGTCACAATACATTTCATGTGTGGCCCAAGAAAACTCTTCTTCTTTCAGTCCACCAAAAGGTTGGACACCCCTGATTATGAACTATCACTATATATATAGTTAGCCTGAACATTTTTTTTTTCAGTTTCTAAGTATGGTTAGATTTATAACCTGAAAATTTAATTATTTCAAAGAAGGAAATGCCATTTCTGTAAGTGGACACCACAGTTAATGAAGGCTTTTATATTTTGATGTCTTGACTTTTTCCTTTAACTTTATATGGTGCAGTTTATCTAATTAAAGTGCCGTGGTTAGGAGCTTTGATTAATTCTTCAGATTAATAACTTTATTGTCAAAGCAGATGTTCTAAGCTCACTCCTGGTATTCCTCAGCTACAGACCTGGTTCACTGGCTAGTATATTATCTGTGTTGTGCTTGGGGAAGGCAGAAAGTTGTTCTTATCATTACCTAGAGATTATAATATATAGTCAGTCCATGTGTCCTATATTCCTGGTACATAATATAAAATGTCAACACAAGAAATGAGCAGCTCTGTGGCAAAGGCTTTGAGAGCCTAAACTTTGAGAGCTTAGGGCATGATGCAGTGCAGAGGGAAATTTGAATTACGAGTCTGTCTCATTTTTAATTTTTGAGGCATCTCCGTACTGCTTTCCACAGTGGCTACACCTCAATCTGCATTCCCACCAACAGTGCAAAAGGGTTCCTCTTTCTCCACATCCTTGCCAGCATTTGTTCTTTGTTGATTCATTGATGGTAGCCATTCTGACAGGTGTGAGATTGTATCTCATTGTGTTTGAAATTTGCATTTCTCTGATGATTAGTGATATTGGGCATCTTATCATATATCTATGGCCATCTGTATGTTGTCTTTGGATAAGTGTCTATTCAGGTCCTTTGCCTATTTTTTAATTGGATGGTTTGGTTTTTTTGGTGCTGAGTTTTCTAAGTTCTTTATAAATGTTGGATATCAACCCCTTATTAGATGTGTTGGCTAATATGTTCTCCCATGCTGTGGGTTGTCTTTTAATTTTGTTGATTTCATTTCCTGGGCAAAAAATTTGTAGTTTGATGTAGTCCCATTTGTTTATTTTTTTCTTGTTTCCCTTGACTGAGGAGATATGTCAGAAAAAATATTGCCGCAAGCAATGTCTGAGATTTTACTGCCTGTTTTCCTCTAGGAATTTTATGGTTTTGGGTCTAACATCTAGGTCTTTAATCCAATTTGAATTTATTCTTTTGTGTGGTGTAAGAAGGTGGTCTAGTTTCATTTTTCTACAAGTAACTGTCCAATTTTCCCAATACCATTTATTGAATAAACTATCTTTAGCCCATTGTATATGCTTGCATCCCCTGTCAAATACTGACCATAGTGTGGATTTATTTGTGGGCTCTCTATTCAGTTCCATTGATCTATCTGTCTATTTCTATGTTAGTACCATGCTCTTTTGATTACTATTGCTTTATAGTATAGTTCCACTTCTGGGGATTTATCCAAAGAAACCCAAAACACTAATTTGAAAGAACATAAGCTCCCCTATGTTCTCTGCAGTGTTATTTACAATCATCAAGATATGGAAGCAGACCAAGTGTCCATCAGTAGAGGAATAGATAAAACAACTATAGGACATTTACACAATGGAATACTACTCGACCATAGAAAATAATAAAATTTTACCCTTTGCTGCAATGTTACTGAACAAGTGGGGTCCTGCTGGCCACCACCACCCTCTAGGCAAAATTCCAGAGGCAAAGTTTTGGTGATAAAGGATAGGAGTCTTTATTTAAAATCTACACAATTTTGGAATAACAGCTTTCCACAGTTATTAGTCACTTAAGCCTATCAAGGCTAAAAGCTTTAACTCTTTAGTTACAGCTTTAATCACCTAAGCCTATCAATTAAGGCTAAACTCTTTAAATTCTGCGTTCCCCTATCATTTCCCTTGTTGGTTTTTAATTACCTTATTTTATAAGAGAGTTTATGAACTAAAACAACCAAAGATACAAAAGTGGCACAATTTTGGAAGAATGGCAGGCTTCTGCCTCAGAGCCTTTCCCCTCTAGAACACCCAAAGAAGAAGAATCCTGCCATCCTCTGCCAGGCCAGCCCAGTCCTGGGCTGCACCTGGAGTTTCTTCTCTCTTCTAAAATCCACCCAAAATACCGTCCTTTGGGAAATGGCAGGCAGCTTCAGCACAAACATCTAGGCAATTTGGAGGAAGGAACAGCCTGAGAGCCCAAGAGTCCCTGAGGCAAGGAGCCAGTCTCTGCCCTTTTATTTCAAATCTTCTGGCCCATAATTCCATGCACACTGGAGGCATTCAGCTTCTCAGCCAATCCCATCTCAGGCTGTTTACCATTGTCTCAGGCAACTTGCTCCTTCAGCCACTCCCTTCTCTTCTCTAGTAATCTGATCAGACCTCTGTGTATTAACAACATTGGATGGATCTGGAGAATTTTATGCTAGGTGAAATAAGCCAGTCAGAGAAAGACAAATACCACATGATTTCTCTCATATGTGGAATCTAAAGAACAAAACTGAACTAACAAGCAAAACAGATTCAGACTCAGAGAGAGAGAGCAGGCTAGCAGCTCTGGGGGAGGGGGCAGTGGTG